GTGTGTGTGTGTGTGTGTGTGTGTGTGTGTGTGTGTGTGTGTATATATATATATATATATATGTATATGTATATATATATACGATAGTAACAATGCACGCATGCACCACAGTAGACGTGAATAGGTACGCCGAGTATTGTGGCTGCAGAAAATAGCAGACTCCGAAGGAAGAAACCGGTGAAGTTGCACCGTGTATATTGCTCGGTCAGCCTGATACGCAATTTGTATTTAAGTAGACACATGATACACTGGGAAGACACTGTAGGCACCAATCACCACACCCTAAACAGATGTAATAACCAAAGTAGGATAAATACATATAAATACCCTCTCCTAGGGTTTACAAGAGGCAGGTACATACCATAGTAAGATACGGCTCCAACTTGTAGTCATCAATGTACTTGCAAGGCAGGTAGCACTCCTCACTGTCCTTGGCGCAGGGGTACTGTTTGCAGTGGTCGTTGCTCTTGAGGGCAAAGCCCAGAATGCCCAGGATGGCAATCAAATACACCAGCCATTTAGAACAGATAGAGGATGAACCACTCTTGGACGCACTGCCACGGGAAGCTAGAGCGGAAGATAGTTCGACGGAAGCCTCTTCTAGAAGTTCTAGGCTTTTCTTATCTTTGGCCTAAGAGGGGGGGGGGGGGGGTGTTACGGGAGACGGGAGACGGGAACCGGGATTGGCAAAGGGTGAGGGTGAGGGTGAGAAGATTTAGTACTAGAATCAAATGTGGGTTGCGTCAAGCTGTATCCTAATGGTGTAGGTATTTCATGCATCTACACGTATGGATGTGTACGTCCATTGTAGATATTCAACGTATAAACTCCGTAGAAAGAATTTCTTTTTCAACAGCTACCAAAATTCCTTGCGCAATCGAGTGGTATTTCAGGACGCCGTGTGAATAAGACTAGGCCGAGAAAAGCCAACCATCAGATGGTGTTATTTTATTCCATGTATCAGTCGCAAACAACGCCTAACATATGAGCTATTTGCACCTCAAGGGGCATGGAACGGTCCACAGTCGAAAACTGACCAGCCAAGGAACTTTCAAACAATGAGTACGAGGCATGCACGTCAGTACCACATAGACACCTACACAGCAAAGGACAGGGCAATCCACCCCACCACAGATACACATTCACTCACACATACCTTGTTCAGCAAAGCATCTGTGGTCTGACGAATATCCTCCAAGGCTGGACGGAAATTGCCACAGCGGACCAAAAGTTGGTTGTCCTTGGTCATGCAGGCCACACGCGTAGCACCTCTAACGGCCTTCTCCGATTCAGGACCGGACAACGCCCCGTTTTTGTTTAACTATGTACAGGACAATTCACATGTGTGAGAGAGACATGAGATGTGTCGAAATACAGCCAACTTCTAGCTGTAAGTAAGAAGAAACTGTGTGTAGAGAAAGCTGAATGCGAAAGAGAATGCATATGATGTGTAAAGAGACACAAGACTATATTGTCAGTGCAACTGTATGAAAATATGAATACTTCATATGAAACAGTGAGAATTGCATATAGTGAGCACGACAACAGTACCGCAAGAGCGTTTGTGTGCAACGATGCATGCTTCTTTCAACAATATGTTCAGGCAGCCGCATATTGAGATTTATAGTAACATTGATCGTACATATTTCGGAATTTCCACACACACAAATGTATATACATACCTACACCTACACATACACATACACACAAGCATTGATATGAAATGTGATATAGTGACTTCATACCCGCAACTGTGGCGATGAATCAACACACCCACACACCCACACACGCGCGCTATATTCTCTGTACAGCCATATGTGCCTGCATACGCACAGGTGCACCCATAGACCTTAAGCACCCAACATACACACATTTATATACCTTCATCTGCCCGTACCACTGGGCCCATCGCTTGCTGAGATCGCCGGGGTACTTATTTAGCATGAGCTCCACCACAATCCGGTACAGGTTCTTGAAGTCGTCGCTGGTCTCCTTGGCCGGGTAGCTGCCCACCATCTGGCAGAACCGCTGAGCCCGAACTTCGGGCAATGACAGAGCATCCGCCCACATCAGCATAAGGGGGGGTAGGTAAGTAGACAGCTTAACGTAGCGCGCGGCCGCTGAGGTAGGGTCTTTGGGATCGCTGGCTTTGGCTTTAGTCCCGTTGGCCTCGTCTAAGGCCCGCGCACACAGCACAAAGGCCTTGTTTATCTCCACACTGTCTGTGGGGCGAGTGGTGGCGGTGACCACCAGCTTGGTGTTTGCCAGCCTCTCGAGCACGTGCAGGGCCATCGCCCCGCTTTTGTCTGTGGGTCCGGCTTTTATCACCGCTTTGACGGCATACTTGAGCCACACCACCGAGGTCACGGCCGGGTCGGATCCCTGGCTCAGACACCACATGACACTGTGTAGGGCATACAGTATAGGATAAGCGTTTGCAAGTGTAGCAACAGATACTTGAACTCGATTATGCACGTGAGTTGGTATGGTTTGTATGTGTATTGTATGCGTATGTGACCACTCGAGCACATCGTCCTCGCTCCCTCTACCGCCCAAAAGGCTTGTTGGAACGTCCTTGTAGTCTCAATCACACAGTTCTCGTGATCTGATGCTGCCAAACACCTCGGCCATACCTACCGGTACATTCGTGATCAGTCGTCGTACATACAACCTTGTAGTCCACGCTTTCACCACCCTGCACCAAATTTACCTCTAACTGGTTCACACGTGGTTCCTATATCAATCCTAAACTACCCTCTCTAGTACAACCCGTACACAACCTCTATTCATATACACCCGTACTTGTATTCATGTACATAAACAAAACTCGTCCTACCATACATGTATAGAGAACGCGCATCCTACCTTGAGTCTTTGCCGAACTTCTCGCAGTGCTGGACTGCGTGGTCGAGCGGTTTGCCCACAATGGCTGAGGGCCGGTTGGCCGCAATCGCCAAAACAATCAGTCGGTTGCTCGCGGACTGTGCGGTGAACTTACCTATTGTGTTATGCGAAGGGCATGCAGCCAGGATGCGTGAGTTACTACGGTGATGCAGTACGTGTGCGCGAGGAGGATATATGAGAAATGGTAACAAACACACATGACATATACCTATAAATATAAACATATATTCAATTGGTGAAAACAGGACCACTCTGAAGGTCAATGGAAAGGTTATGTGAATATCAGGAAATCACAGCACCAACATCCTGCGAATCTGGACTTACTCACACAATAAGCACATGTAATATATACACACGCACCACAAACGACGATCATGCTTCTCCCAATTCAATAGGGACACACAAACTTCACTTCACTTCACTTAAGATTGCAAATGCACAAACAATAGGAAAGACCATTAAGACGAGAAAACGTACAACAGCGTAAACACAACACAAACATTATATCATCTGAAAACAGACCCAAAGCTTTGGAAGGAACCACATCCCCGTATATACAATGCTGTGCCCAAATTTACCTGAAGCACATTCCGTCGCGAGGGAATTCATAGCCCGCAAGATTTCGCTCTCAATGACCTCCTGATTAGCCTCCTTTGTGTATAGTGAATGGAATACCTCCTGTACAGCCTTTGGCACACACGCGTATATGTCGCTCCCTAGATTTGGATCAATTGTTCAATATTGTGTTTAGTGTCAGGGTTCAAAGCATCAAGGAATTTCTATTAAAAAATGGGTATGCGATATTGAGCAATTAGATGCGGTCTGCAGTAAAATGTAGGTATATACAATAGCACCGTGATTTTGAAAAAGTGACACGCCGATTCAATTTTTGAAAATTCATACAGGAATCAAATCAACCACCATGTATACAATGTAAGAATATATATATATGTATATATATGTATATATATATATATGTGTGTGTGTGTGTGTGTGTGTGAGTGTGTGCGAGTGTGTGTGTGTGTGTGTGTGTGTGTTGTTGTAGTAGTAAT